AAAACGTAAACTCTGATTTTCTTCTTCACAGATACTGCCAGACCTGCTGAGCTTTTCTAGCAACTTCTGTTTTTCTTCATGAACCTTGCATTACCAAGGGCATGCTTGGTATCCTGGGCAGCAATGGAAGCTGCTGGAGGTGCATTGTGCACAACCTCATCCTGTTCCTCGGGAAAGAAAAGGATGTGAACTCTTCACCTTGTTCCTCCTGCAGTTCCAAACTTCACCTTGGAGCAATGTTTCACACAGCACATGACACCCTGACCATTGAGGAGGTTCTCACTGTTTTGTGCTGAAGAGTGTGACCAAATCTGTGAAGGCCGATGATATGGCACTTGTTGCAGTGCTGTTGCACTTCATTGCTTGAAGTTTCTGAAGGGTGTCCTGATGTGAGTGCCCCTCGTTTCCTAGCAGTTACCCCTGAAATCTGCTTGTAAGTCCAAAGAGAGCAGAGTTTTGGACTGTCATGAAATGAACGCATCATTTCAGCTGCATGGAAATCCAGTGCCCACCTCCAGAAAGACCCATTTGTGCTGGCACACCAGCTGCACATTGAGGTAATGGAGGTCCTTACCGTTGACCTGAAATGGTTGTCTGAGGCTCTCTGGGTGCAGTCAGTGACGCTCTGCAATGTTGGGGAACCAATCAGAGGCACACATATGAGCAGCCTCTCATTCTCACTGCTGTGCATTCTCAGGTGAAGTTCAGGGAATAGCAGATAAGCCATCAGTTATTTGTCTCGTGTGTTTGTGTGCTACTGACTGCGAGAGCTTAGATATTTTCATGTTAGATTCCTGGAACAACCCAATGGTGAGATAATTTATTATGTGGAACTGCACCAATTGCATTCTGATATATAAAATCTATATTCTAATATATATACAGACAATATCTATAAACATTTCTTTTTTTTTTATATTCATTTGTGGGATGTGGCGGCCAGCATTTATTGCCCATCCTGAGTTGCCCTTGAGAAGGTGGTGGTGAGCTGCCTTCTTGAACCGCTGCAGTCTTTGTGCTATGGGTTGGCCCACAATGCCATTTGGGAGGGAATTCCAGCGTCTTAACCTAGCAACAGTGAAGGAACAGCAATATATTTCCAAGTTGGGATGGTGAGTGGCTTGGAGGGGAACTTGCAGGGTGTGGTATTCCCATGTATCTGCTGCCCTTGTCCTTCTAGATGGAAGTGATTGTGGGTATGGAAGGTGCTGTCGGAGAATCTTTGGTGAATTTCTGCCAAATATCTTGCCGATAGTATACACTGTTGCTCCTTATCACCATGCAAGTCATTTGCTCAAATAATTCAACCAGATTCACCAAATGTGACTTATTCTTCAAAAATCCATTCTCTTTAGTCAATTAAAATTTATTCCAGACCTTTGTCACATTGTTTCTGATGATAAATTCCGGTAATTTCCCTTCTCTTCACATTTCACTTGCATGTTTGCAATTACCTGCTTTTTGTCCCTGCGTGTCCTGTTACTGATTTCATGTGGGACCTTCTGCCTCCATTTTCATACTTATCAGCAATGATGTCTTTTCTACATCCATGTGTTTTGCATTCTCAGTGTAACACAGTATTCACTATCACTGAAATCCTAGAACGGGAATTGTTATTTGTGACTGACATTTTGATGAGACTTGGAGCAATGGAGTGGCAGACTCCTAGTTAAACTTCAGATGAGCTTTCAAATGCAGTCCTCTTTATTAACCTTGGGCAGCTTACCAGCACAAATCATTGATAACAAGTCAGTGTGAACAACAGCAGGATCAAAGTGATATAGCGACATCACTTGTCCATTTTAAGTCAATTTTCTTAATGTGTCATGGTATTTAAGAGAAGCATTTGTTGGCAATAGTTGATTTATATTTCAGTTATTAATTTGATTGCATTATTTTTTATAACACCATCAGAATGCATTGAAAGTTAACCTATGTAAAGGCACAGGGAAAGGTTGAGAAGGAGGTAACCTCAGCTAGTGTGGGAATTGAACCCACACTGTTGGCATTATTCTGTACCGCAAGCCAGTTATCGAGCCAACTGAGCTAAAGTAACACCTCTGAGAGCCCAGCATGCCCTCAGTACTGCACTGAGTGTTTGCCTTGCTTTGTGCTGTGTGCTCCGTTCCTGAAATGGATCTAGAAACTGTACCTTCCTGACTCAAGAGGCAAGAGAGCTGCCAACTGAGCCATGACAAACAAGGTTGCTTTAATGGAAGTATAAGTTACTTCTTTCCAAGCACTTCTTATTTTGCACCCATTTGCTTTATTAGGAATAATTGTAACCAAGAATTCCTGATCAATTATTTACAGTGAGTAATCATCCTGTGTTTCATTAGATAATCTGGGTATTTTCAGATTGATTTTAATAATGCAACTGACAGATGCAGAGTTGCAAATGGTGTTGGTGCCAAACGACAAGTTGCTGCCAGGATCTTATTATAGACGAGTAATCCAGAAACCTGGATTGCTGGTCTGGAGACTTGAGTTTAAATCCCATCAGGGAAATTTGAACTCAATCAATTCAGGTAGATCTGGGATTTAAAAGCTAGGATCAGTGATGGTCACCATGAAACAAAAGGATTGTTGTAAAATCCTACTTGGCTCATTATCCTTCCATGCCCTTACTTAATCCATCTTGTCAATGAGATCCCACTTCCAGCTCATTTAGGGACAGGAAGTGTCACTGGACCCGAAAGGTCAACTCAGCATCTGTGAAGCAAAATCAGCCAGACATGCTGAGCTTTTCCAGTGACTTTTGTTTTTGTTTCTGATTTAAAGCATCCACAGTTCTTTCGGTTTTTATTTAGGAGCAGTGACATCTGGAACTATCAATGCTCTGATCGTTGTGCTGACACAGATTGCTGTGTATGGGACCTTGGATCAGCTACAATGTGCACTGTGGCACAGCTTAGATGGAATATTGCTGCTGAGCACCTAATGTTATGACCTGATCCATACCTTAGCTGCCTTTTCAGGTGCTATTGCTCTATCTTTTATCTCTGTCCCATAATCTTTCGGGCAGGTAATATACCTGGTCTGGTGTACATGTCACTGCAGCAAGACTTGCAGCAAAGCAGTTAACACCGCTATCTGAATTATCCCAACAATCTATTCAGCTGCATGCAAGAGGTTGCTCATTACTAACTTCTTAAGGGCAACCACAAACGGGCCAGTGACATTACAGCAAATAACATGTTAAATATTATATTGGATAAAGACTTTAAAGCATGGGTTGCTTCAAATGCCAGAGATGTTACAATACAAATCTGGAGCAAGTAGGATTTGAATCTAAACAGAAGTTGCTGGAAAAGCTCAGCAGGTCTGGCGGCATCAGTGAAGAGAAATCAGAGTCACCAGACCTGAAACATTAACTCTGATTTCTGTTCACAGATGCTGCAAGACCTGCTGAGCTTTTCCAACAATTTCTGCTTTTGTTCCTGATTTAAAGCACCCACAGTTCTTTCAATTTTTATTTAGGAGTTGAACCTAGACTGGCTGGTCTAGAGGTAAGGACACTACAACTACACCACACTTGCTTGGTCATGGGTGGCTTCAATTAGTAGTATCACTTCACCTATTACAAATGTAATGCTCCAAAATGGTTCATTCAATTTTAAGTGACAGCAATTAGCATGAATAAAATCAGTCTGATAATGAATAACTGCAGTAGACTTCAAAGCACCACCATTTGTATCAAGGAAACAAAGGAGCGACTAACTGAGTAGCTCTGAAAGCTGATGAGTTGCTTGGTGTTATTGCTCAATAATATTGCCAAGTACTTCTTCAGTTCCATCTTCTATATCTCATTGGCAAGTTGCACTGGTCATCCATCAATTTTGAACTTTGGCTTGATCCAGCACCAGCTTTGAAAAGCTAACAATGAATTAGTTGAGAGGTAGTCACTCTGCAGGAATAGGCTAGGCATCTGGGATGGAAGTGTGGGATCAAAGAGAGAGAATGATGTGATTGGGGGAGCGGGAAAATTTCTCCTCATGGAATGTAGAAAAGCAAGCAGCACTCACCAAGAAGAGGGTCAGGGACAACATCTCAGTTGCCATTGAGCTCACTTACCTTTTCAAAGGCCTAGATTTTTCACTTCATGGAGGGTGATACCTTTTGAAGAGTGTGGAGAATTACTTTGCAAAGCTGGCTTGCAGATTTCTCATTTGTTGCTGACTTGATGACAATGTGTTGGGAATTATTTTTCATCACCTCCGCATTATCCAACGTGACATTTCACCTTTTATATGTTAACCAATTGACCTGATGAATACAGAAAATGACAGTGGGCTCATGAATCAGGGATGCTTCATGTCTGTGCAAACATTAATGATGAATATGAATCTGGGGAAGTCTTAAGTAAACTTTGTTACACTTTCCATTAAGACTGTGGACTTTAATGGGAAATTTGAACACCCAGTTATTAGTTAAAAAGATCACACAACAATATTACACATGTTAAAATAAAATAATTTTATTCTTTAATAATTAAGTAAAGCAAATACTTCATACTAAAGACTGGCCTGAGGCCATTATTTGATCTGCACATCAGAAAGCACATTGACACAATACCAAATATACTTCTAACTAAAATTCTAAACTGAACCTTCCCTTTTCTATTGATACTTCAGCCAGTGGGCCTTTGGCTAGTTATCAGGTTTTTGAAGATTATCCACTTTCTTGGGACAATCTCTAAGATTTGCTGTAGCCGACTTTGTAAGGTCTGGAATGTTTTAGCTCAAACTTGAGATTCAATCGCAATTCCTGTGTGGTGACTTAACTGAATATTAACACATCCTAGGTTTCTATTCGCTGTATTATCCTTGTCCAAAGTTTTGCTGCAGCTCTTGGTAAATCATCCTTCAAGTGATACGCTTTTCACTGTGAAGTTACGGTCTCTTTCTCAAGCTCCAAGCTCAGTAAAAGTTTCCAGTCATTTGCCTGTTGTGACAAAACCAAGATTTTTAGTTTAAAGAACTGTTTGTGTTTTGTTGAAGGAACCAAGGGTAGTACAAAAGAGACACAGTCCAGAGGTCCAAGCAGATGTTCAACTGATGACTTTGCAAAATCTTGGGGACGGAATGGTGGGAAAGAAAGATGTTGGAAAGCCCTCTCGGATATAGAGGAACCACAGACCCATTGCTACTGCTTTCGAGTGCCCCCTGTCATTTCCTCCGTCATGAACCCAGGAATTGGTGTTACCGTAGTCAGGTGTAAAGGAAATTTTTCACCTAAAAGTGCTTCATTCTCCCCACTGTGATCCACCATATATAACCGTCAGGGTGTAGATATAATTAAAGATGTTTAGACAGTCAATTTTCAGTATAGGTTTAGTATAAGAATTTGTAATGGCCATGGCTGTCACAAATTGCAATGACAAGAAATAAAATTTGCTTGACTGAGAGAACACAAGTTCTAGTTGTAAAGTCATTGCATTATCACACACATGTCTTTCATTAGCAAACAAATAATTGCATCATTGGAGATCAAGTCTGCTCTGCCATGTGTTTTTGATGTTGCATTATGGTCTTGTGTACTTTTATATTCCTTGAACATATGTCCAGCACATTTATTAGCAGCAAGCATTTTCTGCTTAATAGACAGTTGTGAACTTCCTACTGATGTGATTGACCTTGCAATAGACACTACCCAGTAGGTTCCAGCTGGGTCTCTTTCACCAGTTAAGGAAACTAATTAATTTTGTGGAGAATCAAGTCCACATCTATCCTACTCGGAAAAGAGATTTGCTGTGTTTATAGGCACTCCATTTCTTTCCATGTCTGATACTTCAGTAAATCCTTTGAATAATTAATGTTTTCTTCACCTTTCAAGGGCTCATGACTTTGCACTTAGAATTGCTTTTGGTAGCTGAATTAGGTACAAAATTAAGTTACATAAAAGAAATTTAATTATTGAGTATCCATGTACATATTAATAACTTGAATGAAACCAGAAAATCCTCTTTTGTCAGCACATTGATGATATTTAACAGGGAGTACAGGAAAGATGCTGATGGGTCCCTCCCATTCAATCAGATATCCAAGTATCTGGCTGCAGGCTCCGAAAAGATCAGGCCCTTTAACAGCCCCGATCAGAATTAAATTGAGCATTTGGTCCTGCTTTTAAACTCAAAAGTGTGGCGTGAATCAACATTGAATTGTGCAGTTTGTGATGAATGCTGAATGTAGATGATCACACTGAAGCAGTCAAGCATTTGAAAGCTTGTTAAATTTGTCCACGTAGACCTCAAATGCAGCTTCCTCCACAGGTACTCATATAAATAAAAATAAACAAATCCCAACAAATACTTTCAAACCTTCTTCCCCAGCAGTTTTCTTCACTCCTTCCACTTTAGCTGACCCACTGCCTTTTGAATATTCTCTGGCACCCTTGTGCCCACTCCACCACAGTGACCTCTCTGTCCATGCTGTCAAGGTGAACTTTGTTCTGACCCTGCCAGGGTGACCAACTCTGTGGAAAAAAGACATAAAGATGTGATAAGTAAGTAGTCAACAACATAAATGCGGCCACATTGGAGAGCAGTGGAATTAAATGTAGAAGTAAGCCCTGAAGAATGAAAACCATCAACTCACCAGCTCCCAACCTGCCAGACTCCTTCATTAGCAGCTTCCAAACTTATGGCCTTCACCGTCCAGGAGGACAAAGGCAGCAGGTGCATGGAACATCACCAGCTGCAAATTCCTTTCTAAGCTCCATATCATCCTGACTTGGATTGCTGTTCCTTTACTGTGGCTGGGTCAAATCCTGGAACTTGCTTTCTAACAGCAACTTGCTCACTATTTTTGAGAACCTCACTGCTGAGATCCTGGACCTGAATAGCAACGTGACACAGGACAACAAAGAAGACCTATGTCACACCAGTTAGTTGTGGCTCACCATCTGCAATGATGAGCAATTCAATAGGACGCTGGCAGGAGTAATCGTAGTCCAGGGTGTGGTCCATTGTTTCTAATTCATTCATGGCATGTGGGCGTTGCTGGCTGGGCCAGCATTTGTTGCCCATCCCTGGTTTGTCCTTGAGAAGGTGGTGGTGAGCTGCTTTCATGAACTGCTGAAGTCCACGTGTTGTAGTAGATCTATAATGTTGTTAGGAAAGGATTCTGGGATTTTGACCCAGTGATACTGCAGGAACGGTCATATGTTTCCAAGTCAGGATGGTGAGTGGCTTGGAGGGACATTTTCAGGTAGTGGTGGCCCCAGTTATCTGCTGCCCTTGGAAGTGGTCGTAGGTTTGGAAGGTGCATCAGTGCATCTGGTGCTATTGAGGGTCAGTGGTGAAAGAACTGAATGTTTATGGATGTGGTACCAGTCAAGTTAACTGTTTTTCCTGAAATTTGTCAAGTTTCCAGAATGTTGTTGGAGCGGCACTCATCCAGGCAAGTTGGGAGTCTTCAACCACAATCCTGACTAATGCCTTAGAGATGGTGGGCAGGCTTTTGGGAGTCAGGAGGTGAGTTAATTGCTGCAACATTCCTATCCTCCGACCTGCTCTTGTATCCACAGTATTTATAATGACTAGTTCAGTTCAGTTTCTATTTAATAATAACCTCCAGATTATTGATAGAAAGGGGATTCTGTGAAGATGACGCTATTGAATGTTTAAGATCAATGGTTAGATTTTCTCTTTCCAAACAGGAACAGTTTCTCCCTGTCTACTCTATTCAGTCCGCTCATGATTGCGAAAGACTCTATCAGATCTCCTCTCAGTCTCCTTCCCTCCAAGGAGAACAGCCCCAGCTTCCTCATAGCTGAAGTTATTCATCCCTAGGACCACACTTGTAGATTGCCTGTGCTGTATAAAGAAGGAATTCTCTTCAGCTAATGCCTTTCTTTGGCATTGAAAGAGACGTAGATTGACATAGTATCATGTCGCAAAAGCAGAAATTGCCAGAGAAACTCAGCAGGTTTGGCAGCATCTGTGAAGAAAAAGCCGTAGTATCAATTCTGAAGAAGGGTAACTGGACTGGAAACGTTAACTAACTTATTTTAGAGAAATCAAATAATCATGGTCCATTTGATGTGGCTGATCTGTGCTATGGAGGCAAACCTGGTGAGAATAATATACAAGCTGCACGGGACTAACGAACAACCATTTTACAAGTATAATGAGACTTGGACTGAAAACCGTAGAACATTCTAAAGACTGTTCTTTTTCCTTACTGTGAACCACAACATGCAGAACATTCTTTGCACAGGCCCACACTCTCGTTAATTAAATAATTCTTTGTCCTGTTATATTACCCTGTCAGTCAATTCTGAAGTCTTTTCAAAGTATCAGCCACTCCACCCTTCCCACTGACAAGCCACAATAACCCCCTACCGCATCCACCTATCTCCATCTCCCCTACTCTTCCCCCCCCCCCCATTTATTTCTGTGCTCCCCACCCACCGCCAGTCCTGACAAAGGGTTTCAGCCTGAAACATTGCTGTTCCTGCTGGTCAGATGCTGTCTGACTGGTTGTGCTCTTCCAGCTCCATATTTATTGACTTGAGCTACTAGCATCTGCCATCCTTACTGTCTCCAAGACACCAACAACTCCAACTGATACTCATATAGTATCTTCAATGCATAAAATTCATGAAGGCACTTCACAGGAACAGAAAAGCAACCAAAACTTATGCCTGTGAATTAACCTATCACAAAGCCATTTAATTAATCTGTTTGGTTTTCTTATTTTCTTTTATTTATCCCTTAAATGTATTTGTCTAAGTGTCTTTTGTGTGAATGGGGGGGCTGAAAATAAATGGTTCTGGTTTAAGTTGTAGACATTACCTTGTTGTTTACTTTTTTTCTCTGCTAAAGTTATTGGGTATTTAGTAAATAGTTAAGTCTTTCGCATGAGATACAAAAGTGGTACATGGAATTAATTATTCATGAAGTCCGAAACTGGTTATTCTGATAAGGAACCATTGGAATAATTAGTTATGAGCTGGGTCTTCAATGACTTACTTTTACTGCGGGTTTATTTGAAAACACAAGCTTTCGGAGCCTTACTCCTTTCTCAAGTCTTAGTCAGGAGGAGTAAAGATCCGAAAGTTTGTGTCTTCAAATAAACCTGTTGGACTATAACTTGGTGTCGTGTGATTTCTGACCTTATCCACCCCAGTCCAACACCAGCACCTCTACATCATTTACTTTTACTGGATTGCGATACAGAGGTAAGAAGTCTGATTTGGTTTGGCTGTCTGTTTGGCTGTGTCGTACCAACTTCCATCATACTCCGACCCTCACTTTGTCTTATTGTGGAAAAAATTGGACTATGGTGCAAGGTACTTTCTCACTAAACTTTATTGTGTTTTGTGATTATTTTGCCTTCATTGTTATCGATCTGTGGCGATTGCATTTCTGTTTCTTTTTCTCAATGACCCTTGTGCAAATTCACATAGGGTAAATGAGAATCGAGAGGTAAATGTGTGGCTCAAAGCTTGGTGTGAGAAAAATGGATTCATGAGGCATTAGCACCAGTACTGGGCATGAGAACTGTGTGTGTGGGGTGGCATCATTTGAGCTGTGCTGTGACCGGTGTCTTGGCAAATTGTATAACAAGTGTTGTAGATAGGGCTTTAAGCTATATGCAGGGAGGTGAAGAGGTGTTAATCAAATTGTCACAGGAAGGAGCAGAAATATACGCAAAAGAGTGCAGCAGAAGAAAAAGTAATGATGCTTAAAAAGTCAAAACTTAAGGCTCCTTATCAGAATGCATGCAACACTTGTGATACCAGCTCATTGATCTTGTTAAAGGTAAAAATAAATGAATATGACTAGATAGCAAGTACAGAGACTTGGTTGCAGAGTGACCAGGACTGGGAGCTCAATATTCAAGGGTAATCTATGTTCCAGAAGAATAGATTAAAAGGACCATAAATCCAATAGGATATAGGAGCAGAATTAGGCCATTTGGCCCATCGAGCCTGCTCCACCATTTGATCATGGCTATTATGTTTCTCCATCTCCTTCTCCTGCCTTCTCCCCATAACCCTTGATCCCTTTACTAATCAAGAGCCTATCTATCTCTGTCTTAAATACACTCAATGACTTTCCTCCACAGTCTC